CTATTAAGGAGAAATCTCCAAGACCGAAAAGTGTCTACTTAATAGGGGTGCCCCCTGAAAAGTGGTTGGCTGTAGTATTAAAAGATATATTTTCCCTTGTTTGTTTTGATTTGAATTGATATATTCACTGCAGTACACAAAGACATGAAATGAACGTTAAAAATATACAAATGCTTATGATTGTCAAAAACGAACTGAATCACTGTTGAAGACTGTTTCAACAGAAGTATAAATATAAATAATTGAAATAAATTAAAATATTAACAAAGTATTTACAATAAAGTTTAGATTCAAATTATTGAACTTTCCAGAACAAGAACCTTAATGTTGGAAGGAAGATTATTCTGGAGTTTTCATTAATCCCCTTAATAGGCGTGGCCCAAAGAAGGTGTTCTACTGTAAATGTTTCTGCTCTAGTTATCATGAACAGACCTGTAGTAGCCGTTTGAGGCCATTTTCTACATGCTTTTCTTATCCATTTTTAAAGAATATGGCATTTTCATCATTTTCTTTTACACTGACAGAGGCAACAAAACAAGCCACATATCTAGGCCTTTGCAAGGCGTAGAGAACCACTAAATTTTGTGTTAATTTAGGTATAGTAGACTTAATGTTACCATTATGAATGATGAGAAGAGGTTGCAGTATTTATTTAATTATAAGCTGTGAAATACTCACACCTATCGCTGAAAACATTGTGAACCACTTCAAAGTTCGTGAACAGTGCAGGCTGTGGTATTGAAGCATGTTTGGCTGAGAATGGTAAGTGTGTTGTTCAAAATCGCTACCACAATGTTAAGAAACTGAATAAAAATGGCTTTGCCACAATACTTTGCTCATAACGTACATTTTTTTTTTTATAAGAACACATTTATTAAGAACACTGAGGCTGAAATTGCTTAAAGATTAAGTAAAAAATAATTTTAAAAAATGAGGCTGAGATAAAATGTCAAATGAGGTTTTTATTTTAAAAAAATAGAAAACCAGCAAATATTTCTGTACCTTATTTGCAGTAGATGAGACTATGTATTACCCTCTATAATAGAGTAAAGTAATGTACTGCTGTACTATAATAATTTTTTATGTTTGAAAAGTGTGTAAATAAGAACAAAATACAGTAATAACATTTTGAGCCTGAAATCTGCCAAAAAATAAGAAAACTGATCCTGGGCAAAGGTTTCCTGGTTCTTATAAAAAAAAAAAAAAAAGTGTATGAGAAAGATAACATATCTGCAGTGTATTCAACATTTATTTCTTTTGGGTTTATTTAAAGGAAGCGGCCTACAAAATGATGCGGCCCATAAAATGATACTATATAAAGTGTGATATACCGTACCGTACAAAATTTTAGCCTTATTTATCGATGAGTACTATTTATTATATTGACAAATAATAATTTGCATTTTCTTTTTAAATTATTGAAATTAATTTATGAGATGAAAGAATCTAATCATTATTACTCAGGTTAATGCTAATCATTTTTTAGTTATTTTTAGCTTTTATTGTGGCATTTATAAAATCAAAATATGCATATATGCTTATTACTTAATTTACTCAACATGTTTTTCCTATAGACACAATATTTATTATGGTTAATAGATGTATTTTATCTGATATGTGAGGCTTTGATGCTTACCCAAATTATGCCCAATAGACAGCTGAGCATAATAATCTTCATGTTCAATATGTGACCAAGTCTATAGTTATTAGGTTTGGGCTGTGTGAAGAAAGTTAGTCTAGGTTTTCTTGAAAATCCTGACAAACTATCTATTTTTTTAAAGTTTAACCTCTCTTTTTTTTGTTTTAAGCAGTATTGCTGGAAAAACACATTTTTATTATAAAATACATTATTATGTCTGTCGTAATAATAATGTATTTTATATTATTATTACGACAGACATAATGTATTTTATAATACATTATTATTTCTGTCGTAATTATTATTGAAGTTATATTTATAATTTTTTTTTAATCAATAGAATATAGAAGAAAATAAAACACAAATAACTCGATCATTGTTTATTTAATTTTAATGCAAAATACATATCAATTGTACTTATGTTTATAAGAATAAAAATTCTTTTGGACGGAATATCTCTCAAAGGTTTCAATAAATATAATTTACACACACATTTTTGTATCATTTACAAATACAGAATACTCATTTTCAGCATAATTATGGAATTCTATTAATTTATTTGGAAGATGTGTGTATTTACAGTAAATACAGTACAGTAAAAAGTTCATCCAAAAAAAAACAAAGTGATATTTAGCATTGTTATTGGTGGGTAAAAATCAGCATAAAAACAGTAGTAAACATTTAGAAATTTAATGATGCACAATAGCTACTGTTGATAACCAGTGGCAGCATCAATGAGGATTGTGGGGTGGGGATGGAAGGGGGCACTGTACCAGCAGGGATTGTGGGTTGGGGTGTGTCATCAGACAATATACCCTATTTGTGATTGCAGTTCTAATATTGTAATTTAAAGCACAATTTTTACAATTCTACATCATAAAACGTTTTCCTAATGACTCTATCTATGTCCACTTTGTGTTCATCAAAACCATAGAGAGAGTGTGTGTGTGTCTGGTTCTATTTTATCAAGTTACTGTTCCTGTACAATGTAGGACATAGAGCACTGTAAGAGATATTTTTGGTCTTGTATACAACAAGAACCATCTTCCTGCAATATTCTTCATAAAAGTGCAGGATACCTATTTACCACCGATGGAAGCACTCACTTCTGTGATTGCCAGAGCTTCACAGAGGCTCTCGCCCAAATTATTCAACTATATAGTAACTAACCATATATGGCCACTTGAGTGGCTTTAAACAATACTATGCCAGTAGGGTTGAACAACCAACTCGCAACTATCAAGAGGGGGGTGGGGTGCCTAACCACTACATAATTTTGATACTCTTACATTTTGACCCAGTGGTGGGGGGAGGTTAATCAAATCAACACATTGCTTGGTATTGATCGGGATAAGCCCACTACTGGATTTTTGACTGCCCTGCGTGAACTTCTCTAAAGCGATTGATATGATTGGGGTGGGGGGGTTGGAAACTGAGAGACAAAAAAATTATCTTTGTTAATGCCTCCTCTTTGGCCCCCTCCCCTCTCTGCAGCGACGCCACTGTTTTTACCTATTTTTTCATGTTTAATTTATTTATATTTTACACTAAAGCATAGATATTAGAAATTTAGTTTCATGGATATAAACATTTCAGAAATTATTCCCTTTAGAAGATTGATTATATTTATATTGCAGGAGTAAATTAAAAATATTTTTCAAGGGTCATTAGCCAGTATTGGTCTCCACATGTTAGTACTGCCATAGGCGAAGTCCCCAGCACCCCTAGATGTATCGACTGTTGGCTTATATTCTGTGAGAGCTGTTAGGCTGAGCGGTTGCCAGGAAGTGTCAGGTTTTTGTTGCCGCAATGATGCTGTCGATGATGGAGCAGTCAAAGATCTTTCATTTTTTTTCTCTTGAGATGTTCTTTTCCTTGTCGGTTTGTTTTGAAATGTTGATGTGCGCTTGCTAAGTAGAATCGTTTCTTTTTCCTTTCCGTCATTTTGTTTTTCAGGTCTAGAGGCCCAGAATGTGCCTTCGCAGGTTGCATCTTCTTCTGTTAAGAAGGAAAGTTTTGTAGACTTCTTTGATGTAGTTGCAGGCAGATGGTCTATGCTATCACCTGCTATTGGTTTAGCTTCCGTCTCATCTGTTTCCATGGGAGCTAAGGAATCGATATCTGGAAGTTTTTCTAACCATTTTTTGTATGCTGGTGCATCAACCACCTCTTCCTGTAAAAAAAATAAAAGCTTAAACTTTTCTTCCTTGAAATAAAAGGGAACAGTGTTTAAAAACAGGCATTATGAGATCTTTGTCTGTCAGACCAAAAATGATTTTCATTGTGTTAGCATTGTCTTACTAACAGACATGAAATGATATGCTTTTCATGATCAGTGTTAAGTTTAAACCAACATTATCTGATGTTACTTCAGATATTATCTGTTGCCTCTGATAGACTAACATCATGCCTAGCTTAATGAAGTAGATTTGTGGGGAAAAAATGTTTAATATTTTCTGTAATACACTCACTATATTATTATTATTGTTTTGAAAAACTTATACATTAAAAAACAAGAATTATGAGATTTTTGTCAGACTAGAAAATGTTTAATCAGATTTTCTAATATGTTTCCTCCATGCTCTTACTAACAACAGACATGAAGACATGCTTTTTATGATCAGTGTTTGAACAAACATTATCGGATGTTACTTCAAACCGTATCTGTTGCCTCTGACATCATGAAGTAGATTTGTGGAGAGAAAATGTTAGGTATATTCTGTAATGCACTTGGTATATTATTTCACATTGTTATGAAGTACTTCCACATTAATTTAAAACTTTTGTGCCCTGCATACCTCTTCCCCTATCCACGAAGGGTAGTATCGCATTGGACCTTCCTCCCCGTTACGATCAGAAAAATCCGGCAGCGGATTGTTGTACGTCAAAATGGCTGTCTTGTCTTGGTTATTGTGTGCAGAACGGTACATCAACTCTATGTGGTGTCGAAGTTCATGAACTTTTTTGCGATAGCTACCATCTTGAATTTTCTCTGTTTCGGGGACCTTTAACAAAATGAGGAAAGGAAGTTTGTGAAGTTATGAAAATAAAATAATGATTTTTAGGCATCAGCTGGAGTTTATTTATGGATGTTGGTTAATGTAATGCCATACATTCAGAAAAAAGATGATTTTAATTATTAATGCCAATGGGAAAAATTGTGAATTATGAAGAGTTCCATATATAATTTTTTTTTTCCAGGCTGTAAGTTTAAGGTTATAATCATTCAGATGGTATTTGCCTGCCATGTGCCAAGTTTATGAAAACATTGGCTCTATTGCAAAATAGTTGTGGATTGCATTTGAAGAGAAATTAAATGATTGATTTGTCATATATGACATACCGACGCTTATATATATATGGACATGTCATCAGCTCCATATGCCATATTATATGGTTATGTCATATACCCATATATGGGCATGTTTTTTCACATATGTGTAGATTTAGAGACAAAGGTCTGTCAGACAATCAAATTTTCTTTTACAAAAAACTGCCCATATATAGTCATGATGTGCCTATATATGGTCATTATGTGATGACCATATTTAGACATGTTGCATGATTTTGTCAATTAAAATTTGATAGTCTGGTCAGGTCTATAGAAATACATTATTTCTTTGATCAGATATGTCTGAAACACACCAAAACTATCAAACAAATTGTGACCAAACATTGTCCAAACCAGACAGACGAAACTTAATTATTAATCTGATATCTTACACCATTGCCGCTGTAGAAACTCCTCTTAGCAACTGTCTTGTTTTTTGTTAAGCATTCCCTGACAAATGCCCCATAAGCATCCTTTAATTCTGTCGGAATCTGTGCATCCGCTTTTTGTAATTTCACATTCGTTTTCTCCCTTAATATTGTCCAAAGCGTTGTTGCACCTGCCCGACCTAATATTAAAAATAATTACATCATCGTATTTATAATGTGATAACCTATCTTGTGACCTATTTCAAGACGCATATAATTATTACCCCTGGTCATCGGATACATAAACAGCCATGCACGATGAGAAACTTCCTCCGCACCCTCGGGAATATTCCCAGTCGTGCAGCTAATTCTGCGGCAATTTCATTCTAAAATCAATCGCATTCCACCAGGTATCAATTTATACTTTTGGGAAAAATTAATCATCTTGCCCAAAGTCAAAAACAATAACAATGTAACCAGCATTGGATTTGAACTGAACCATTTGGTTGGAAGCCCAAAGCCATTCCACTGTACCACATTCTTCTGCATAATAAATATGACTTTAATCAAATTTTATATGCTCAGTATATTACTACTGTATTAGCTATTTAGGCAGAAGCCATTCAAATAAATACTGTATTGAAATTTGGATTTCAACTGCAACGACCAATTTAATCTTCGATCAATTAATTTATTAATATATTTACTTTTGATGGCAATTGATGAATATTAAATATAATTTGCATCATATCAAATATAATTTGCATCGTAGATTCATTATTTTACGCAGATATGCGAATACAATATTATTCTAATACAATAGGAATAATAATTGCATTTTAAGCTACATGAGTGAATTATTTATTATTTGTAGGGAATTTTGAATCGGATCAGAAGCAACTGATTTCACACTCTCTTGCACATAGAACAGTGCTTGTTCTAGGAGTAAATAAATGTTGGCAATATCTTTACGCTTTAGTG